TTTTTTTTGAGACAGAGTCTTGTTCTGTTGCCCAGGCTGGAGTCCAGTGGCACAATCTTGGCTCACTGCAGCCTCCGCCCCCCCGACACCCCCAGGATTCAAGCAGTTCTCTTGCCTCAGCCTCCCAAGTAGCTGAGATTACAGGTGCCAACCACCACACCCAGCTAATTTTTGTGTTTTTAGTAGAAATGGGGTTTCACCATGTTGGCCAGGCTGATCTCGAACTCCTGACCTCATGATCCACCTGCCTCAGCCTCCCAAAGTGTTGGGATTACAGGCGTGAGCCTCTGCCCCCCACCAGAACAGTTGTCTTTAATTGAAGGAATAAACAAGCTGCTTGTGGTAGCATTGCCCTCATGTCCATTAGCAGGACTGTGTGGAGGACAGTGTCCTCCATAGGATTAAAGTTGCTGCTTCAGGCCCCATTAAGCCCTCACACAGGATGTGTTGACACTTTTACAAGCCTGTAAGTGAATTTATTTTTCTATCGCAAACATTGACCTTGGCATAGAAACGTAAATAAAACTGAAAATGCAAATGAACCTTGACATTTTTAGTTTCAAATATTACCCCTCAATTCAGCAAATTTCCAATTACAGTCCTTCCATGGTGGTATCCTCGGGATTGGTTCCAGGACCCCCTGCAGATACCGAAATCTGCAGCTGCTCAAGTTCCTGATATACAATGGTATAGCATTTGCTTATAACCTATGCACACCCTCCTATATGCTTTACCCCATTTCCCATTTAGAAAAAAAAAGTACTTGGCTGAACTTAGTGGCTCACACCTGTAATCCCAACAGCTTGGGAGACTGAGCGGATCACTTGAGGTCAGGAGTTTGAGACCAGCCTGGCCAACATGGTGAAACCCCATTTCTACTAAAAATACAAACAATTGGCTGGGTGTGGTGGCGGGCTCCTGTAGTCTCAGCTACTCGGGAAGCTAAGGCAGGAGAATTGCTTGAACCCCAGAGGAGGAGGTTGTAGTGAGCCAAGATCCAGCCACTGTACTCCAGCCTGGGGGACAGAGCAAGACTCTGTCTCAAAAAAAAAAAAAGAAAGAAAAAGAAGTGCAGCTCGCTGTCCGCACAGTATTTTCAGGGGAAAAATATGAGTTAAGTAATCTCTGGATTATTTATAACACCTAATACAGTGTAAGTGCTATGTAAATAGTTGTTAACCTGTATTTTTTGTTTGCATTTTTTATTGTTGTATTGTTACTGGTTTTTGTTTGTTTTTGAGACTGAGTCTTACTATCACCCAGGCTGGAACGTGGAGTGCAGTCATGCGATCTCAGCTCACTGCAACCTCCGCCTCCTGGGTTCAAGCGACCCTCATGCCTCAGCCTCTTGAGTAGCTGGGATTACAGACAAGCACCACCACGCCTGACTTTTTTTTTTTTTTGTATTTTTAGTAGAGGTGGGATTTCACAATGTTGACCAGGTTGTTCTAAAACTCCCAACCTCAGAGGATTCGCCTGCCTTGGCCTCCCAAATTTCTGGGATTATAGGCATCAGACACCATCCCTGAACTGTTTTTTGTTTTGTTTTACTTTGAATATTCTCTATATATGAGAAACATATTAAAGATTTACCAGTTAAGAGTCGTTTTTTTTTTGAGACCGAGTCTTGCTCTGTTGCTCAAGCTGGAGTGCAGTGGCGCGATCTCGGCTTACTGCAACCCCCGCCTCCCAGATTCAAGCGATTCTCCTGCCTCAGCCTCCTGAGTAGCTGGGATTACAGGCATCCACCATGCCGGACTAATTTTTGTCTTTTTTTTTAGTAGAGACAGCGTTTTGCCATGTTGACCAGGTTGGTCTTGAACTCCTGACCTCAGGTGATCTGCCCACCTCAGCCTCCCAGAGTGCTGGCCACCTTGCCCAGCCAAGAGTCCTTTCTTTAGGTGTTTGT